AATTTCCTTCCCTCCGATATTAATATTGGTTTTTCAAATTTGCGTAACGATCTTCAAGCCAATAAAATTTAATTTTTTGCGTGATATCTGGAAGGGAGATCGTCACATAATTTAGCCAATGAAATCAAATGTCCACTATGCTACTCTCACACGTGTCTATAACAAAATACGCGTACAATTATTTTCTTAATTTGGTAATAAAAATTTTTTATTATGTAAAAAATAAAAAAAAAAATAAAAAATAAGAATTTTAATTATATGTATTATTACATGTATTGCATCTAATTAATTGCACATATTTTTGTTTATAATCATCAAAATAAGGATGATGCAATGCTTTTTTTGCAGAAATTCTTTGACTAGGTTCATAAGTTAACATATTCTAGAGAAGAAAAGAACAAAAAATTAATTAATAAAATCAGTTAATATTAGTAGGAATATAATTAATCAACTACCTGTAAGAAGTTGAGTCCATTAATATACTAATATATATGTGTGCGCATTTATATATTATTAATAATTGGAGAAAATAGCATTTATACAAATATAATATAAGCAGGCGTTTTAATACAAACCTAAATATTTTATAAAGTTGATCTATTTCGCTATCGCCTAATTAATTTGATTAGTTAACTGGTTGGTTAAATTTATCTTTATACGTATTATATATTAAATTTTGGTTTTTTCTAATAATATAAATAGTAATAATAGTAAAATAAATAAATACCTTTAAATAAAGCACGGCTTGAAAGAATTTCAGCAAATATACAACCCACGCTCCAAATATCAACACCAGTTGAATATTGTGGACATCCGAGTAATAATTCTGGTGAACGGTACCATAATGTGACAACCTTTATATTTAACAAGAGATATGAACTAACTTGATTTTTTTAAAAAAAGAAAAAAGAAATTAAATCATCGATTATATTACCTCGCGTGTATAAGCTCTCATTGGAACACTACATGCTCTTGCTAACCCAAAATCAGCCAATTTTAAATTTCCTTCTGAGTCAATAAGTAAATTTTGTGGCTTTAAGTCACGGTGAAGAATACGATGAGAATGACAATAGTAAACACCACTCATTAATTGCCACATGAATTTCTATTATTAAATAATTTAGAATTTAATATTTGATTTTTTTTCTTGATAAAAATAATATTAATTGAATTATTATTTTTTTACCTTAACATTAAATATTGTTAAACCATGCTGACCAGCGTTATCAAGATACTTCCTTAGATCAGTTTCAAGATATTCAAATACTAAATATAAATTTTTATCAGAATAAATTGTGTCCAATAATCTTTAAAAATATAAAATTCATTAATTTTATTTATTTATCACAAAAAAAAACACGTGAAATTTTCAGTGGAATCGACGACATACTTTACAATATTTTTATTATTTGCTTGTGTTAATATTGAAATTTCCCTAACAGTTGTGCATGGTATTCCATCGTGACAATGAGTTTCTAACCTTAACTTTTTCAATGCAACAACAAGACCTGATTTTCTTTCCATTCCTCTATAAACCACACCAAATGTTCCTTATAAAAAAAAATAATGGTTATGACATTTACATGTAAAAACATTTGTTCAATATTTATAAAGAGAAATGTTAAAGTTACAACTAACCTTCTCCAATCTTTTCAAGTTTAATATATTTATCCGACATGTTTATTATGTTTGTATATATATGTATGCATATATGTATTATGGATTTATTAAATTTAAAAAAAAAATAATTTTGATATTTGAGAAAAAATATTATGTTGTATTTATTTATATATATATATAATTCGAAGACAATTGAAAAAGATGGGGGGGAGAGAGAAAAAAAAAGATGAATAAATGTGTAAGCATAAATACCGATATGGAATGACGACACGCGAAAAATTAAAGATAATAATATTTTTTTATTTTTGTCTTAATGCGATTTAATCAATCGTTTATCTTTCTTTCCCCATATTGTTATCTCTCGACCTTTTTCGAACCCTTTTTATCTTCTAATAAAGGATCAAAATTTAATGATTAATTGATTGAAAACTCGTATAATTAGTAACTTTCTGTCGAAAAAATTTATATTATGTCGAGAGATAAATAACATAGATGACATTTTTAACTGTTTAAAGCTTGCATTATTTACACGTTTTTATCACCAAAAATGGGAATTGTAGATTGATCTTAGAAAACCAACTTACTCTAGTTAGGACATATATATACATATATATAAACAATATAAAATATATAATATAAATTTGCATGATCAAATTACATAGACAACAACTCTATGAAACAAAAATGTTTTTTAGATTTTAGTTTATTAATAATAAATATTTAGATAATTAATAAGGAATATAATATTAAAGTTCATAATTATAAAAATCAAAACTTTTACAAAACCTTATTTATAATTATGAAAAACTACAAAAATTTTTATAATCTTCCATAATAAGTCTCTCCACATCTTCTAAATATTCTTTAATTTCTTTATGCTTTATTCTTATCCATTGATCTCTCTCGTAATCAGATTTTATTCTATCGTATTCTCTTTTTATATTTATTACATTTATAATAATGACGATAGAGAAAGGATATTTAAAAAAGAATGAACACGCGGAAAGAAAAGGAGAAACTATTATAAACATTATGGAAGAAAGAATGATGCTACGCCACATGTCCCACATTTCAAAAAGGAAAAATCATCAGACGACATTTCACGCGATTGACATGTCTACTTTAATAGTTGTGTAGAAATTTTGCTATTCAAATCAAGGGAACTTTTTCATTTATGACTAGTACGCCATGAAAATAACGAGGCTGTTTTCCATTATATGACGGAGTACCATTTTCCGACTTCCACGCCATGCTGGCGAAATTACCGTTCAGGCCAAATAATATAAGCAATGGAAATAGAGCCAATTAAAGATATATGGTAATGTAAAAATCAAAAATACTGATACCATTTTTATTTATAAAACAAAAGTATTGATTAAAAAATATTGCTAATTGAAAAATTTTCTGTAAAAGTTAATATTTTTAGGGAAAAAGAATTATTACTGCTTGATTATGAGGTTTGTTTGTAGATTCAATCTTGAGATCAGGATCACTATTCAATTCTTCAAACCCACATTCAACAAGTTTTTCGGGTTCCTCATCAGAATCTTTATACTACATTATTGATATTATCAAAATAAGCGAATATAATTATGACGAAGGAATTTCTTTTTTAAAAAAAACTTGTTAAATAATAAAAATATATCATACATACCATTATTACCTTAATCTTGGATTTAAGATTTTTCAAGCTTGTTGTTTCTCCACTTTCATTACTACATACTAGGTTTTCATGTTGAAGAACGGCAGCTTTTTTAAGAGCTTCAGAATAATATTTTATTTTTTCTTCGACTCCCATTTCAGCTTCACAGTAAGTTGATGTCATATCATAAATAGAAAAATCTGATTTCAAAAGTCGATAACCATCTGCACATGATTCTATTTTACCATGAATACAATTAGATGAATCAGGACATGGTGTGCAGGCATGATTTTTTAAAAAATCTATCAAATTAACAACAAGTTAATTATGAAATCAAAAATCATATTTTCTTTTTTTCAAAACATAAAACTTAACATTACCATTCTTATCATAACCATTGTCATTACTAATATTATCACAATATCCTGCATAATTTTTAATTCTATGATAAATTAATAGCATCATGAAAATGACCAAGAAAATGTTTTTGATTACTTTATTTCTTTGAGCTCTTTCTGATTCACGTAATACTTTGCGACTTGGTATCCGATTTGTTCGTTTGTTGTAGTGGTTTTTATTAATTTCGGTTCCAAACCAACAATATTTGGGAATATCATAACGTGATTCGCTAAATATATTTCTGTTGATAACTTGTGACGATGAAGAAGCAGTAGTTGGTGTATCTGGAGGAATCGAAAATGATAATGGTGGTTCATTACCATGAATTGGTGGTGGTGATAATTGCAGTGAATCTTCCTGAATTATGGTAGTAGATTGTTCATTCACCTTGATAAATGATGGTGGTGATGATGATTCATTAGTTATAGATGAACCATTGATTTTTTTCGACGGTATTTGTTCTTGATAAGATAAATTTGATGCGGTGGTTTGGTCACCAT